AACAGCCCATGGGTAGGCCGAGCAGCCCATGGTCAGGGCTGACAGCCCATGGGTAGGACGGACAGCCCATGGGTAGGACAAACAGCCCATGGGTAGGACGGACAGCCCATGGGTAGGACGAACAGCCCTGGGGTAGGACGAACAGCCTGTGGTCATGACTGACAGCCCATGGTCAGGACAGACAGCCCATGGTCAGGACTAAGAACAACAGCCATGACTTGTGGCGTTTGTGTGTCCACATGCATGTGCGTGTGTGTGCATGCATGTGTGGTATCTGGGACAGGGTCTCACTGTGTTGTGACCTTTCTGCCTCAGCCTCCCACGCACTGGGGTTAAAGGCTCAGCACGGGGAGCCATGAGGACTGTGGCCCCTACCTCTGTGTGGGCTCAGGGCTGAGTAGCAGACTCCACAGCCATGCTGACTTTGAAGAGCTTTTCTTGAAAGCTATTTTTTTGGACCAGCAGATGGTGTAATGGTTACATCACTGGACTCCCACGCAGTCAACTACAGTTCAAGTCCCAGACCCAGTGACCTCAAACTAACGCCGGGCACGTGTGCGTGCATGACCAAGATACCAAGAGGAGACTGGAGGAGAAGGGATTGCGGCATGGCCACCCCCCACCAGAGGGTGATTTCTCACTTTCTGTCTGTCTCTTTGGTGAGTTGCACACAGCACCCTATAGCAAAAATCTCTTTAAAAATTTATTTTATTTATTATTATTACTACTATTTTAATTTGCTACAGGGCACCTGCATTCACCAGAGAGACAGAAAGAGAGGGGGAAAGTGAGAAGCAAGCTTCCAGGTCCGGGACTTGAACCATGGTCAGCCATGTGGGAGTCTAGTACCTTAAACAGCACATTACCTGCCAGCCCCGAAGCACTTTTTAATGTGCCCGCATCATTCACTCTCTCAGCGCCCCCACAGAGTAAGTGATATGTCCACGTCCATTTTCTAACTGAGAGGGGGCCCACAGAGACGGCCGTGCCTGGCCGCCAGGCGCTGGGCAGGGGAGGGGCCCGCCTGCCCCCCGCAGCCATCAGAGGGCAGGCATTGCTCCATAAGGGGCTGAAGTTGCCGCCCATGGCCACCCGTGTGGGCACTGCACCAGCTCCGAGCAGGGAGGCGGCAATGCCTGTTTCCAAGCTTCATGCATGCCGTGAGGCCTCAGCACACGGAGTGCTAAGTGTCCGGGAGAAAAGCTCCCCCGAGGGCCCGACACACAGCCAGAGAGGACAGGGGCTGGCAGTCACCCAGGTGCCCTGCAGAAGCGCAACCAGCGAACACCCTGGCCCACTGGCCACTCAGACACTCGTAGACGGCAACACGCCTGCTGTCTCTCCGGAGTCACGCTGAGCAGGCGTCCTGGGCTCCCTGCTGTCTCACAGCCCACCTTGCAGCCGTGCCTGACCTCCATGGGCAGTAGAGCAAACCTGAGTGTGGGGACTGGGGGTGCAGGGGGAACCGTGCCAGCTCTGAGAGGTGACCGGAAGGGCCGCCGGCCTGGACAGGAGCGGGGAGGTCTCTTTCATCTTTGTTTTTGACAGAGTTTCACAACGAGGCTGCCAGGAAAGCTCCATCTGGTCTTTGCAGGGTTTGGAAACCCCCCATACACACACACACTGTCACACTCACTGCCACACACACACACACTTTCCTGGACAGGAGGAAAGGACACCTGTCAAGGCCGGGTCCTGGAATACAAAGCCAGGTGACGCATGCGTCCTTCCCCCACGTACACAGACGCGCTCCACACAGACACGGGACCTGGACGTCTTACAACCGCCACGGCAGGGCTGACTCTTAACTGGCGCCCTCACGGGAGAGGTACTCTTAACTGGCGCCCTCACGGGAGAGGTCGAGCCAAACGTGCAGAGATCAGAAGCTGCCCCACACGAGCCGGAGCGAGAATCCACAGAAGCACTTGGGGCAGAAACGTGCTCTCCGAGGAGCCACTTCCCTCCCAGCCGTACCTGCCATCCAGGTCCTCCATGTCCCTGATGAAGAGGCCGCCCTGGTGCTTGCACCTGTTCCTGCAGGCCCGCAGGCGGCTGTCGCTCTTGTAAAGGATGAAGTCCCTGCCAGTGCTCTTATTGCGAAAGAAGTTGAGCCCCTCCTTGAGATCTGCCACTTGAGCGGGTGTCAGGCGCAGCAGGGTCTCGGCCGTCTGCTCGTGGCTGTGGAGAGGCACATGTCCCAGCAACAAGCAATGTTTGGTTTCCTGAGACGATCGTGTGGAACTGGCCACACAAGATCCCGTTTCAATAAGACGCCTTGGAGGTCCCTGGTGGTGCCCGGCTTAAATGCCCCACCTTCGAGCAAATGGGGGTGCCCCAGGGGACTTGGAAAATGCAAGTGAACTATGGGTTTCTTATGGGTAAACTTTTTTTGAAATTCATACATCGTTTCTCTCTCTCTCTCTCTCTCTCTCTCTTTCTCTCTCTCTCTCTCTATATATATATATATAAAGCACATTGCCATGAGCTTCCTGCAAACTCCGCCCGGCCACGTGCTGCCCCCATCCCCGCACTGGCCCAGAGCGCCCCATCACTTGCCTGTCCATGCTCCCTGGTCCCTCTCCAGGGCTCTCCCTGGAGCACAGCTGCCTTCCTGTTGCTCCTCCGCCCGCGCCCGCAGAGCCTCCAGCAGGGCAGCCCAAGGGCGAAATGTTTACCCCAGCTGCAGCCCGCAGCTTCCGTTCCGCACTGGCTTCCTCTCAGCCACACCTCACTCATGGAGGAGCCTGACAGTCTTCAGCTCCAAGCAGCCCTCCCCCGTGCCCTGCCCACTGCCATCTGGCACGTTTGCATGTGGGCTTCCCCTGCCTGAGATGCAGCGCCCCCACCCCGCCCCGTCCCACCGCACACCTCAGCCTTCGTTTTCAAGTAGGGCTCGCACACCCCTCTGTGGCTGAGCCTCCCCCAGGTGGGCCGGCAGTCCGGGAAGGACACAGGCAGGTCCCCGGCACGGGGCCGCCATGGTGCCCCCACTGCCACTCTGGTGCCCCCTGAGCACAGTCCTCTGAGTCCCTCCCCACCCCAGACGGCCCTGTGGGCGTCCTCACTGGCTGTCTGCCTGCCCAGTCTCCCTCCCCGGCTGCACCCGATTTGAGTAATTGACAAACGGTCCCGGCAACGAGGAAGCACGTGCTGTTTCAGGTTTTTTCAAGACTATGTGGGACTCGTCTGAACCCCAGTTTCTACTCCTCTTGTCACAGCACAATTCTGAATCACAGTGGCATATCATTTTTGCCAAGACGAGTTTCAAAGTATCTTCGCCATACCCCTGATAGGAAATCTGGGCACATTTTTCAATTAAAATGTCTGAGTTTACATTTTCCTCCAAACGAAATGTGACCCAAATGCTCTTCGTGTGCTAGCCAGGGGCTCAAGCCCATCGGTGGCATTTTTACTTTTATTTTTCGAACTGCTGCCCATCTCTCCCGAACACATACCGGGCAGAGAATGGCAGGGCGGGGACTTCCGGTCCTAGAGGAACAAGGCTCTGCGGCCCCACCCACTTTCTCCAAGCAGACCAGCCCTGGGACTTCACTCAGAGCAGGCTTGAAATGGCTCCCGGACTGTGTCCTACACGCATTCGCTGGTAAGGAATGCGTGGAAACCTCGCGCATCCTCTTCTGACTTTTTTCCGATGAGCGCGAGAGCCTGCCCCCCACGAAGGCGGCACTGGAAGCACTGGTAGTCCGTCTGGAGTGTAAAGGGAAGGCCGGCCAGGAGTTCGGCTCCCTCAAGTGCACGGACCACATGGCGAGTCCCATTAGCCCCACCGCGGCTCCCTAGGCCGGGCAGTGTGAGGAGGGTGTGCGTGAGGCCCCACCCGAGCCTACGACGCAGGGAAGACGCCCACTGCGACACACATGCTTTCCCGTGTATTTTAAATCGTTAGTTAAGGTGTTTTAAAAGACATTACTGATGGAGCTGCTTCTATTAAAACCAGGAAGTTTAAGCTGCAGTGAGTTTGGTCTGGGTGTGGCGAGAGCGGAGGGATTTAGCCTCTCAGCCCGCCGAGGTCGCTGACCACGCAGCCAGGAGAGCAGGCGTCCAACCCTCTCGGTGTGTGGGAGACTCAGGGGTGCGGGGAGGCCATGTGGTCTGTGCTTGGGTGTGCCGAGGCAGGGACAGCTGTGTAGACGCGTGGTCGGGCAGGAGCTGATAGAGACGAACCGAGGGGAACTGCAGCAGGGCCTGGCCGTCCACACCCTCCTCGGCCCTCTGGGCAGAGGTCCTGCCCCCCGGCAGCAGGCGGCCCTCTGGGGTGAGGGTCTAGGGGCTACATCCCAAGAGGCAGTTGGAGAATTTCTTTATGGCAGGGGAAAGTTAGAGCCATAGTTTAGGTTCGATGACAGACCTTGGAGGGAACAGCTTTGGCTTCGCCGTGGGGCAGAGGGCTTACGGCTTTCAGGGCTGGCCTTGGGGCAGAGACAGGAGGGCAGGAGTGGGTCAGAGAGGAGCTGCTGAGCAGGCGCTGAGGCCTCCCCTTTGGGGCACTGTCTTCTGGACCCCAACAGAATACATAGCTGAAAGGAGTTTTGTTTAGATTTGTAAGGTTTTTGAGAAAGATTTTTGCTATAACGGTGCATGCACTCGCTGGAGAGAGACAGAGAGACAGAAAGTGAGAAATTGCCCCCTTCAGAGGGGATGGCCATACCGCAGTTCCTTCTCCGTTCTCCTCTTGGGATTTTGGCAATGTACACACACATGCCCAGAATGAGTTTCAAGCCGTCAGGTCTGGGACTCGAACCACAGTCAAACATGGGAATCTAGCGACGTAACCATTACACCACCTGCTGGTCCCAGTTACAATGAGTTTTAACACACCACCCACTTTTTCAGGGTGACTTCCTGTATCCCCCCCAACTGCATGTGGTCTGAGACAGTTAGCCTGCCACGGCTCACCCTGCCTTTTCAACCACTTGGCCGCGACCGCCTCGTTACAAAAGAGGGGCTCTCTGCAGATGCTTTCCATAGGCGTGGGGTTTGGCTCCAGCCTCGGACTTCGCCGACCCCATCCTCCTCTGCCTGGACTGTCCTCCTGGCCTCAAGGGCTCAGACTCGTGGCAGCTCAGAGCCTACGCCTGGATCTCCCAGAAGCCTGGATCTCCTGCTCGGGCAAGTCAGTCTTCTGCAACCTTTGTACAAAGGCGCTGGAGTGACCGCCTGGTGTCTGGCCAACCTATCTCTCAAGTCCTTCCTCCTTCATGAAAGTTAATTACGCCGTCTCTCCCTGGATTCTCTTTCTCCTGACTCCCTGGAAAATTCCATGCTCAAAATTTCCACTTAAAAAAAGACGGTAAGGGGACCAGCAGACAGCGTAATGGTTACGTCACTGGACTTCCGTGTAGTCCAACGCAGCTCCCCAGTCCCTGGACCTGGGGACTTAAAACTCACACCAGTCAGTGCCCAGCTCACCTCCAGCTGAGGTTGCGCCAAATCTGAGAGGAGCTGACTGGCTCCCATTTAAACGGACTCGCAGGACCAGATGGTGTAATGGTTACATCGCTGGACTCCCACGTAGTCAACCACTGTTCGAGTCACGGACCCCGTGGCTTAAACTCACGCCGGGCATGTGTACATGCATGTCCAAGATCCTGAGAGGAGAATGGAGGAGAAGGGACTGCGGCGTGGCCGTCCCCCCTGGGGAGTGATTTCTTGCTTTCTGTCTCTCTGTCTGTCTTTCTGGCAAGCACACGTGTCCTATAACAAAAATCTTTCTGAAAAGTGAAGAACGGCCTCCCCAGAGCCGCGGTATTGCTGAGGCTCCATGTTTCTCACGCAATTGATTAATAAATTCTCCAGAAGACTGCCACAGGGAAATGTCGCAGGACCCCATTCTGCCCAGCACACAGAGCGCTAAGGACAGCCACCAGCTGCCAAAGCCAGGGGCTGCAGTCCCTTTCAGAAACACGGCCGCCTCTTCCCCCTCTAAGAAATGCCAGGGAGGAGCTCCCGAGCGGTAAGGGGCTGCACCCAGCACCAAGACACACTCCCAGTGATTAAGCAGCAGAATGGAGGAAGAGCTCCCCACCCATTCCGATTCATGTACGAGGCAAAAAGAGCAGGAAACTGAGTTCTCTGAGCACAAGCAGGTGTGGAGACGCCTGCTGACCTCAGTACAGAGGCACAAAGACCACGTCAGCGCTCAGCGGGAGGGAGCGTCATGGGAGGTGAGACTAGGGAGAAGAAAGGGGGCTTGTTGGCAGGGCTGGAGGGTGGCTGGCGGGACGGGTGTGGGCGGCGAGTGCTGGGACAGGCAGGCTGGGGCCGGAGGAGCAGGTGCAGTGCTGGCAGGGCGCACCCACTCCCGCCCAGCAGCACCAGCGTCCCGGGACGCTGAGAGGTGCGTTCGTTCGTGGCCTGGCCAGCGTAGGCTGTAGGCGGGTACAGTCAGCAGGCCTCTGGCCCAAGAAGGCTGGCCTCGCAGGGGAGCAGAGTATCAAAGCCCTCGAGTTTCCCTTTTCTTTTTCTCTTTTAAATTAAGGGAGGCATTAAGCTTCTCATCAGGAATTGTGAGTTAGACATTTTATTTAAATCTCAAAGGATAGGATGACCTTCAAGAAAAATTCAGGAGTCAGCAGGTGGCCCAGTGGTTAAGGTGTTGTACTCTCACATGGCTGACTGCTGTTCGAGCCTGAGATCCAGCAGCTTGAAAATCACACTGAGCCCGTGTGCCTGTGTGCCCAAAATCCCAAAAGGAGAATGGAGGAGAAGGGATTGCAGCATGGTCATCCCCCCAGAGGGTGATGTCTCACTTTCCCTTTGTCTCTCTCTGAAGACCGCACACAGCCTATAACAAAAACCGAAGAAGGAGAAGAAGGAGAAGGAGGAGGAGGAGGAGGAGGAGGAGAAGAAGAAGAAGAAGGAGAAGATTTTGCAGAGATGAAACAAATGCTACAAGAAAAGAGCAACTGAAGAATGAAAGCATTTTAAAATAAAATCGCAACTGCCAACAGAAAATAAAAACTCAGTAAAGGCCTGGCTGCAGTTCAAGTCCTGACCCCAGCTGTGTGTGCGCATGTGTGATTGCCTCAGACCCCCAGGGGTGGAGGAACCAGGGGGCGGGACTGTGGCGTGATCACACCACATGGAAGGTGCTTTCTTCCTCTCTCTCCCCCACTTCTCTGGCAAGCACATGTACCCTCTGGCAACTAATAAAAGATAAATGTAAATGAATCATTAGAGGCTTACAGGGCAGAACAATTTACCCAAACTAAACCCAGAATCTGTGAACTAGAAACCAAATTAAGGAATCTCCTAAAAGCCCAGACAGAGATTAAGAAAGAAAATGAAGAAACAGGAATAATAGAGGGTTTTCAGAAGGAGAAAGGTGGGGACGAAAGTCTGACTGCTTGTTCCTACTTCTAAAATCCCTTCCAGAGGGCCTGGGGTGAGTCACACCCACAGACATTAACAGGCCGCATTGACCCATTTGACAGCAAAAGTCTTCCTAGACCTGTCCCTGGCATACTATCCCTATAATGGATGAGTCAGCCTGCAATCATTAACAGACCATCTGACTCACTGATAACAGGACTCTTCCCACACCCTGTCCTTGGGACAGTGTCTGGTGACTGCAGGCAAGCCCCCTCGCCTCTGCTAAAGTACTAACTTCACTAATTCCTTCCCAGAACCTTCAAGCCCCCCCTTCCATATGTCCTGCCTTTTGGGGCCAGGCTGATGAAAAGCTCATCACTAAATTCCCTTGCTCTCAAAATCAAATAAAAGGAACCCCTGTACCTCATCACCCCGAGAGAG